ATAACATTGGTAATTAACGTTAAATCTACCTTAAATCTACTTGCCATCTGTCATCAACAAGCTTTTCACTCTACTCATCATCAGTTTTGCCATAGAGATAGATAAAAGATAACCATGCAAGCAAACAGGATTTCGAGAAAGGTTATATCCCGAAGACGACGAAATTCTTTGGAATATCGCAGGAGAAGGGATAGCTCTAGCTCACTGGTGCTGTCCAAAAGAAAGCTGCTGCACGTCATATAAAGTGAACAACAAAGAAAGAAAACTATGAAGAGGACAAAGTGAGCATAAACATTGGTTAATGTGGAACAAGTATTCAATTAACAACACTGTCAATCGCTCGAGAAACTGTAACTTATTGATCAGTGCGGAAGAGAACTGAAAATCGATCTTGACGACTAAGAATACTCCTTGTCTCATAAATGAGAGAGGACATCTGGTTTTTTTTATTTTATATGATTCGTGGCATACTAAGCGCGTAGATCTTGGCAATTCTGTCACTCGATTCGTTTCCTTGCTTCCATCATCCATGGAAGGTCTTTAGATTTTCACTTTGGTTCGTCTGTTGTCTGAAGATTGTGGGTTTTCTCTATAAATGGCGTTGAATGTTAGTCGAATGGATTCTCCCTGGAACCCAGCAAACACTCTTACTCCGATGTGCCGGATCAGCGAAGAACATGATGGGAAAGAATCGTTAGCGAACGGTTCCCATAGGATTTCAAGTACACAAAAAAGGACCAGCGAATCAATAGTCGTCCTTCTTCATAAAGAGCTTTAAAGCGAGAACACTATTTGTTCTCAAGGATAGCATCATTTAAGTTAAGCGGCTCATACAGCTTTAGTTTCGATGACGAATATTTTTAAAACACTTCAATTCAAGCAATATCTATTGAATAAAGAAACGTACCAAGGACGATTGTCGCCGTTAGTGTTCCTACGACAATCAGTACGATTATGGCTATGTAGTACCAGCCTAATAAAAATATTTAATTACCAGTCATAATAGGAAATAGAAGTAATGAAATTTGACACTGGCATTGGAATGCTGGATGATGGCAGTAATATGTGAGGCTGACTAAAGCCGATTTTGGTCAATCCTACTGTACGTGATTAATGACGCATGAATAACCGTTTTTCAGTCATAATTTGCGATGATGGGTGTAGTGCAGCGGTCAGAGAAGCCTTGCGAAACACATGGGCTGCGGTTCGGTCCGCGCCAAGGTTGAATCAAGTTCTCCATTCCTACTGGGTCAGCTTATTAGTATAAAACTTGTTAACTACAATATTGATACATCGTTAGATACCCGTAAAATTATTGTACAGATCAAATGCACATTCATTCAGCTCTATGATGCTCACTGGAGTCGGTTAAACGATAAGTCCCTAAGGTATTGTTTAACGCCGAACCTTTTATGCTTTATCCTTTTTCGACCCAAAAGTGAGGAAAGTTTACTTAGCCCAGGCTGGGTTTCCAACCAACAATTACATTTGTAAATGTGTTACCTCATTCGAAACATCACTGATAAGTGCGTCACCCAAGGACACTTCCAAGCATATACTATTCAAATAAATAATACTTTGTGGATCGAAAACAGCTTTGCCATATTACGACTAGGTTTCTTTCAAATCGATGGCGCTTCCACGGCTAGGTCACCTTTAGTTGCACCACCTAGGATGGCGAACCAATCCTCCGTTACAGATGACTTACTGGATGAGAGTGTTAAGATCAACAAAGCTTTATTTCTGTCGAAGAAATAGAACACTAAAACACTATAAACTTAAGGAATAAGCAATTCCACGATTAAAAATGGGCTAGTTTGCGTGAATGGCGCACTTCCGTGGGATGGCCAAAAAAGGAAAACTATCGTGAATCTTTTAGTAGCACTTTAAAGTATGTATCATAAAATGACGAACACCATTTCGAAATCACTTTTAGCCACCAAATTCAGCGCCACCAAATTTGAGAGCTAAAGAAAGTTAAAGATTATTACGGTCTTTTACACGTAACCTTTATAAGTATAAAGACGATGAGAGGACAAGGAATTACGCTTTGAACTATCTCCTAGGTAAGCACCATGCATTCAACTCTGTTAAGTAAGGTATAGTTGAAGAAGTGTATTCTTGGCCCATACAGTGACTAAGGAGAGCTCGATGCATCAAGTCAGTATTTTTATTCTTTCAGATCATTCTAGCAACAAATAACTAAACTCGAAAGGATGCAGAACTTGTGCAGTCCTAGCAGTAAAACTGCGATTTTGTACCAGATCAACTGATACTACATGTGGTCTACACAGACTTCCGCAGCAAAATGAATAAAAATATGTTTTAGAGCTAATTTTAGTAGTTTGACTTTATAATTTCTTTTATTTTATATCACCCGTCTTCACGTCTACCGTGCGGGTCCTCGCACTTCTCACATTCTACTCGTTTCCTCGCATCCATCATCCACTAAGGTCATCCGACTTTTTATGTGTAGCTGCTGCTTGAGGATTTTCATTTCATCTTGAATGTCGTAGAAATGCTGGTCGAGCAATTCTACCTGGAGTCCTGTGATAGGAGGGCTAGGGCGTTCTCAATTAGATTTCAGGGAGTGATTTTTTCCCAGAGAAGTCTGGTACCAGTTTCCCGATCCGGGGGGATGAAAGGTTTGGTTGATCCGGAGTGGAATCGAACTAGCACGATGCTTGTAATAACCGACATCACTACCACTGTGTTATCCTCCCCTATGGTAGCTTAATATGTGATCTAAACAGAATTCTGCGAAAAATTGTTTCAGCACTTGGAAATATTTTGCACTCTATGTTGAGTCTATTTCAGGGTCTTTGTTTACCACAAACGTAATGACTTAAGTGCAGTAACAGTTAAATTCAATGTTGTGACTTTCATTTAGTGTCCATTATTTTTTCATGGTAAAATGAAAGGGTAAACGACAAACCTCTCGGCGATGATCTATCTCTGAGGGATGTGCCATTCATTCGACATCATTAAGCATCATTTGGAGATGATTTAATGCATATCTGGCCCTTACAACAACTCGTGGTGGCTTACCGATGTATCGAGCGAGTGCTACTATCCTCCCTAGTAAGTCTGGTGCCAATTTGCCGACACTGGACGGATGAAGGGCTTGGTGGGCCATGGACCCGGGAATCGATCCCATGTGTGTTGCAGGGCGCCTCCGACCACTGCGCCACGCACGACAGCGCGCCTCCACATGACAGAATATGATGTGAAATACAACCAAAAGGTGCTTAGATATGGGTAAAACTCAGAACGTCAGGTGAGCTTCGAATCCGTGACTACCTTTTACGGGAGACCCATGCGGTATCCACCACACCAACCGAAGCCCTTGGCTTGCCATTCGCTTAGCCAGTTCTGAGTAGTAAATAAAAGTTAAAACGTGCTTCAACTTAGGTGGGTCCAGTGCCGAGTTGTGCTCCCCAGATTATTTCCGTTGAGGGTGATTGCTAGAAGCACCGCTACGCTAAAAAAAACTGGCTGAGAGAAACGAAAGTAAGCGCCTCGATTGGTGTGATCGATAGTAGGTGCGCTCCACGGAAAGGTTAATCGTGGTGTTTAACGTTTTGTTTTCTGCCTTCTATAATTTTCATGGCAGGTTACTAAGTAAACGAAATACAACCACAACGTTGCTGAGATATTTGCAAAACTCTGGACCGCAGGTGTCTATGGTGGGGAACGAACGCGCTATTGTCCTTTCCGGGGAGTAACGCGTTCACCACCACACCATGCGGGTCCTTTGTTTCGCACGTCTCTCAG